CACTGCCAAATCCCTTTGTGACCAACAGCTTTCTCACCGCTCCTCCCCCAGCCTGTAGTGCTGTTGTGTCCCAAGTGCAGGAGCAGCACTGAGCCTTATTAAACTTCATGCAGTTGTCCTCAGCCCATTGATCAAGTCAGTCCAGGTCTCTCTGTAGAGCTTTCCTTCCCTCAGGCAAATCAACACTCCCACCCAACTTTGTGTCATCTGCAAATTTACCGAGTGTGAATCCATGTATGATATATAGAGAGAGATACATAGATAGATATAGAGATGTATACACTGAGGGTGAATGTATGAAAGAGATTGAAGAAATGCAGGGGAAGGCAGCAGAAGTTTCCATTCAAACCATGTTTTATGGTGCTATGTGTATTTATTTGCTAATTCAGCATGACCTAGCTTAGGTTTGAAAAGATGAATGTTGTTTGTTCAAACCTACCTGGCTCTGAATTGTATAGGGTTAACAGAACCAATTGCTTTGTTCTTAGGAGTTGGCAGGACGATGGAATCTAAGCTGGCTTCTTTGGGAATTAAAACCTGTGGAGATCTGCAGTGTGCTTCAATGTCAAAACTACAGAAAGAATTTGGTCCTAAAACAGGACAAATGCTCTACAGATTCTGTCGTGGTTTGGATGATCGACCTGTTCGTACAGAAAAAGAAAGAAAATCTGTTTCAGCAGAAATCAACTATGGAATAAGGTTTACACAGGTAAAGTCAAACTTCTTTTCTGCAGTGACTTCTTTCAGCTGTAGAAGAATCTTCTCATGTTCTGGTTGTTTTCACTTACACTTTGATCTGTTAGAGCACCATCTTAGCCACAAAATAGAAATGAGGAAAATGAAGGAAACCAAAGAATAAAATGGGAGGAGAGACTGCAAAAGTATTGGACTGAAAAGAAGCTTGCACAAAATTATCTGGCTATTCTGCCTTCCTTATCCAGGTCTGGTGCAGAAAAAGAACTGCAGTAGGTTTGTCAGCACCTAGCATTCTCTTTCTTTTAAATGCTGATTATTCAAAGATTTTGGTGCCTGAAACCTTCACCAGCTGCTCCAGTACATTTTTATTAGGCTGTTTATAGATATTGTCAGGTGTGAAGAGTGTTGTTGACAAAATTGTATTTAAAAAGCATCTCAGCTCTGTTGAGAACTGAAGTATTTACAGAAATTACAGAAAAAAACCAAACAGGTTTGGAGATGCCTCGTGGTGTTGTGTAGTCCAGACTTCTGCTCAAAGCAGGGCAAGCTATGAAATCAGACCTGCTGCTCAGGGCTTTATCCTGTCTGTTGTTGGAAACCTCCAAGAACAAAGACTGCACAGCCTCTTTGAGCAACATGTTCCACTGCTTGTCTTTCCTCCTGGTGAAAAAGATTTTCCTTATAAGTCCTATGCTCTTCATCTTCTATGTTTGTGCTTACAGCTAGACTTGCAGTTTTTGGTGAGGTCTCTAAATACATGTTTAAAAAACTTATTTCCCAAAGGACTTAGTATTGCCTACTTATTTCAGCATTAGGATAGGAATCCACCACCTTCCTTAACTTCATTGACCTACAGCATGAACAGAACATTTGAAGTTAAATAAGACAATTGCCTGTGGGTGAGCTTTTTCCTCTCTGGATTGTATTGACCCTGAATGATTTGCCTTCAGTATTTGAAAACTAGTAATTCTCTGAACATGTTGTTTTTCCCTTTCAGCCTAAGGAAGCAGAAGCTTTCCTTCTGAGCCTCTCAGAAGAAATCCAGCGTAGACTGGAAGCTGCTGGTATGAAGGGTAAACGATTGACCCTTAAAATCATGGTCAGAAAGGCTGGAGCACCAGTGGAGCCTGCAAAATACGGAGGTCATGGAATCTGTGATAACATTGCCAGGTAACTGCTAGGCTTGAGCACACTGCTGCAGGATGTTGAGCACCAAAATTTGCAGGAAGACAGGACAGAAATATCAAAAGTGCTTGGTACCTCTTTCTCTACGTATCAAACTTGCACCAAAATCAGAAGTAGAATATTATCCAAAGCGTTGGGTTATACATACGTGGTCTTTTAGTCATCAGTAATACATATGTACATGTATATTGTTGGTGTACCTTTCTGCATCTTGCTCAGTATTGGAGTTGGGGGTTTTCTTGCAGTGCTTTTAGAAGACACATTCACATCCTGCACTATGACACACGTGGCATTTTTATTTCTGCAAGTGACCAGGCAAGTTGAAATGTTCTGCTCATACATACAGTTTTCTCTTCCTGAGCTGTGTAATGTTGGGTACATTCCTTTTTCTTGAGCAGCTTTCTGCTGTTACTCATAGGTGGTTGGTCACATGCTGACTGTGACAGCTGGAGTCAGTTCTCAAAGAAAACTGTGCTTTGTCCTTGTCAAGAAGGATGTCTGATAGTACAGTAGTCCTCTAAGTCTAGAGCACATGGGGGCTAGGGCAGTATTTGCAGAATGACTTCCTGCAGAAGACTGAGAGACCACGTTGGATTCTGAAGGTTGGAGCTGGCAACAGACACCTCAGTTGTCTGGCTTAGTACAGATGAGTTTCTGTTCAATCTTGTCTTTCCTGTTGTTTCACCAATAAGTCTGCAGAGAAGTTTTTGGTCCTAGAAAAGACAGTGAAGATCCAAACTGGAGCTTAGAAAGCTGAATCTCAAAATCTCAAGGTTCAAGACTGTGCCCCATGTTTTTCAGCTCTTCAAGAAGGCAACTTGTTCGTGTCTTTTAACCTTGGCAGTTACATTTTCTTTTTGGTATAGTTGTAGGTTCCTCATCAGAAGTGCCTTTGTTTTCTTGTGGTTCCTAATCAATGGATCCATATTGGATGGTTCTGAGCCTCTTTCTACTCAGTCTGGCTGTAGCACTGTTGATCTCCCTGAGATCTCCCTGTAGTGTCTGCCCATCCCTGGGGCAATGGGATAGCCCAGTTGTTCCACCTGGGTAGTCAGGAGTGGGACCTTCAGCTTCCACAAGCAGTGCTGTTCCTCTTGCCCATTATTTATTTATGATTGTTCCCTGGGGTTTTTTGCTAAAATGAATGATGTTGGCCAAATACTAGTTGGATCTGAAAATGATTTTTAAGCTTACATGCTGAAAACACAGGAATGAAGCATCATGTAGTTACTTGCTGTTTCATTCAGGATTGTTGCAGAACCTTCTAAATACACATGTTCTTCAGGCATGTTCCTTGTATCACAGCAGTTGTTCCTTTAGAAAAGGGATGATCCTGGCTTTTGTGAGAGGGTGCACTTAGCATCTTGAAGATTGGTCTTTTCTACTTTTCCCTCTGTCTCAGGTGGTTGTAACAGATTAATTATTCTTGAACTGAAGGATTGTCAGTCAGAGCTGCTGATAACAGAAGAGGTGGTGAGGTTCTTTCAGTGGGTTTGAGTTCAACAGAAGGACTTGAATTCATAGAGCCTGTCACATACTTGTGGTCTTGCTACATAGAATTCAGCTGTAAAAAAACCTGTAACTACAAAATTGACATTTCACTATCAGAAGCTTGTCACCTTTTGCATTGGTGTATCAAGAAGAAACTCAGTCAGTCTATACTTCTGACTATCCTGAGTTCTTTGAGCTGAAGATCTACTCTGAACAGCCTAAGACCATATTTTTAGGCTTGATTGTGTGTTGAAGTAGAGCTTTATACCTCCTTTATTGGAACTAGAACCAGCATGCTTTCTCATGAACAAGTCAGTGCTTGGCATCCCATTTCTGTGGTCCTTCTGCTTATGTTCCTGTGCCCTGAAACGTCCCTAACTCATGAAATATTAAAGTAAGATGAGGGAGCACCAAAGGATACTGCTTTGTTCACACCTAGCTAAAGCAGCTCAGATTGCAAGATCTTGTTTGGTGGCATCTCTGCTCCTGGCTTTGCTACTGACCTTGTCCATCCAGGTTGTGCTGTTTGATGATGCAGGTGCTGTATTCCTGTCTTCCTTACAGCATTTCTGTTCAGTCTGGTGAAAGGCTTTTTAGCAGCAGCAGGGTCAACTCCAGAAGATGCATCCAAGCAAATGAATGAGAATCTCAGAGTGATGTTCCTTTAAGTGTGGCTGTGTACAGGCAGGTTCCAACAGTTTGGGATTATTTACTGGAGATAAAAGGGACTGGTTTCTCTCTTCAGTTTAAGATTTTCTCTAGCTATAGCTCATGACCCATTTCTTGCCCCCTCCCTTCACAGGTGAATGAGTTGCTGTGCTTTCTCATCCTACAGGTCAAGATTCCCTAGAGTGATAATCATAGTCCTACAAAGGATTCAGTCTCACAGACACTTAAAATCAAATTCAGCTTCTAAGAAGCTGTATTTTTACTGCATCTTTTAAATGAAGTATAGAATACGAGAGTGCAGTAAAGACCTTTAAAAATACTCTTCTGAAATGGTGTGTACCTTTAGATTCATCTGATTTCTCCTTAATATTTTGAATAGCTGCATCTTAATGGTGATACTGGTCCCCTTTTTATTAACTAACATGTAAGTCTTAGGAAGACCTTCACATCATTCAGAGCAGGAAGGTATTTCCTTTTCATGTTGGCAGAACTGGGCTTTTCAAGAGATGACTGTTCCTGGTGGTCTCTGACAGATTGAAAAGTAGAGCAACAACATCGAAGTGTTGAGTAAGTTGTCAGGATGGGACCCTGTCAAAACTCCAAGGTGGAACTTCCTTTTTGTCCACAGTGCCCACACCATCAGAATTACAACTGCCTCAGTTACCTCAGTGAGAAGACTTTACATCACTCAAGTACATTTGATTAGCCACTTGAAATTCTGTTCTTACCTGTCCCAAGTGATAGGCCATTAGAGAAAGAACTCAGAGCTCCCAAGCACTGCTGCCCTGCCAAACTCTCAGGTGGCAATTTGTAAAACTCACAGCCAGGTCATTTTGTGAGGCTTCTCCATGAAAAAAGTGCCCACGGCGTAAGTATTTGGAATGTTGTTTATACTTAGTTCCTGTTAATTTGAGTTCTTTGTTGTTTGTAATCACAGAGTCAGTTAGGTTAGAAGGGACCACAATGGGTCACCTGCTCCAACCTCCCTACTCCAGCAGGGCCACCCTAGAGCACATGGCTCAGGATTGTGTCCAGATGGGTCTGGAATATCTCCAGTGAGGGAGAATCCACAACCTCTCTGGGCAATCTGTTCAGTGTTCAGTGACTGCACAGGAAAGAAGTTCCTCCTTGTATTCAGGTGGAACTTCCTGTGCATCAGTTTTTGCTGTTACTTTTTGTTTGTTGGTTTCCACAAGTGAGCAGAGTCTGATCCATCATCTTGGCACTTCCCATTCATGGACTTGAATACATTAATGAGGTTCCTCTCAGTCATCACTTTTTGAGGCTGAGCAGGCTCAACTCCCTCAGCCTTTCCTCATCACTGAGGTGCTCCAGTCCCTTCAGCATCTTTGTCACCCTCCCCTGGACCTGCTCCAGGAGCTCCATGTCCCTCTGGTCCTGAGGATCCAGAACTGGACACAATCCTCCAGGTGTGGCCTCACCAGGGCTGAGCAGAGAGGCAGGAGCAGCTCCTTGGCCTGCTGGCAATGCTCTTCTTAATGCATCCCAGGATTCCATTGGCCTTCTTAGCCACAAGGACACACTGACTCATGGACAGCCTGTTGTCTCTCCCTCTGAGTTCCTTCTGAAGCTCTTGCTGTCGACATTTGACAATTGACAACTGAAATAATACTTAGCAAGGTATGAACCAATCCTGAGTGAAGGATAGTGCTGCATGAGTGTGTTTCTGTGTAAACTCTAAAGTCAGACTCTTTTTCTGGCTTCAACAGGTAGCATGTATATAAATACATACTGCATTTGACAATTTAATGTGTGAACTGCACACTGAGAGTGTGCAGTTAGTAAGTAAGTAAGCTCTGAATTTAATGTGTGAACTGCACACTGAGAATGTGCAGTTAGTAAGTAAGTAAGCTGCATTTTTTTCTGTACATCATGCTTAGTTTTAATTACCTTTAAAAAGAAACCACAGAACAAAAAAAGTGTTCAGTTTCTGTATGCTAAGAAATCATGTTCTGTCTTTCTCTGAGGTCCTTGCAGAATTGTTGTTTTTTTTAGGATTTGTGAAGCAGTTTCCTTTTTAACCATGCTTGTTTATTCTTTTTAGAACTGTGACTCTAGACCATGCAACAGACAGTGCAAAAGTAATTGGGAAGGAGACTCTGAACATGTTTCACACAATGAAACTGAACATATCAGATATGCGAGGGGTGAGTCAATGGGAAAACTGAAATTTATCCTCTTTATCAACCTTCTTTGTTGTCTTCTGGAAATTTTCAGTTTCCTGGGATGGATGATAACCAAACTTAGACAAAAGTGTAGATAATACAAAGCTTACCTAAATTAGGTTATGCAGTCATATTATGTTTGTATATTTACCTTTGAAAAACATGATTACAGAGCCTTTAGTTTAAAAACTCTAAAATTTTATTGTGGTGTGAAATAACCCACAGCTTGAACCAGCCTGAGGTTATAAAGCTAGTCTGTGTCTTGTATAGTTCTACTTACATGTGCAAGCTGTATTTTGCCATAGAATTTTCTGACAACTTTTGCACAGCTATTAGTTAAGTAACTAATATAAATACTGTTTGTAATGCCAGTCAGAGGTACAGATCAGAGGAGGTGTTTTTCTAGACTGCAAGTCTTAGAGCAAGAGGTTAACCAGCCCATGGTCTGGCCTTGGTTTGGAGGTGCTTTGCTGGCTCTTTGGATTCATGGTTTGTTTTAGAACGCTCTTTCTTCATCTCAGTGATTTTGTCATGTCAGTGTGAACACATGAAAAGCTTATTTTGGCACCAGCCATTTGTTACAGTGGAGCACAGAGGGTTTCTACAGCAAACCTGCATTTATTGCTTATCTGGAGATAGAAGTAGGGCTTTGATTCACAATGTTGCCTTGCAGAGTTGTCTCCCTGGGTTGGAGTTGAGGAAATACTTGTCATCCTATCCCTGTCTTTCTCTGGTTTCTTGTCTGTCTCCTTTGCTGACTTCTTTCATCATTCTATTTCCTGTGATTTCTTTAGCACTTGTTTTAATAGTGTTCTAATTTAAAATTAGCATCCCCTAGACATGGGGATGGACATGTTGTTTTGCAAAACAATGTACTGCTTCTGACTAGGTGGCTCTGAGTTCTGGAGGGACCATTCAGTTCTAGCTTATATAATCAAGTGTACATCCATCCAGGGTTCCTCAGTGTTTGTCCTTTCAGCTGATTTCAGACACTCCCAATGTCTGTGTGGGAGTTAGTCCCTTTAACCTTTGTTTATACATGAGGTGAGTCATGCTTTAAAGTGTCCTTTTTGTGTTGATATCTAGAAAGGATCCTGAACTTATACTCTTACCTGTTTGCCCACACTTAGGCAGATAAATGCACTCACTTGTCCCACAGACTTCACATAACACTTAAACTCTTGTGCTAGAAGGCAAAAAACCCCGCAAGGGAAAATTGTTTGGCACAGGAGAAATGAGGAACACCTCATCTAATGAAAACTGCTTGCACCCAAGTACTGCCACCCACTGAGACTTTGTGAAAACCGTGTCTAGAAGTGAAACACTATTATTTTTCTCATTTGTAGACTGAAGGGATGGATTTAATGTAGATTGTTCTTGGGGAAAAGCTTTGCTTTCTTGTATGGGCAGCCACATTTGACATTAGGCACTTCCTGGTCAGTACTTCTATACTTGTTAATATATACATAATATATACATTGTTTATGATCCTGTTGACTTTTCTGTATCAGAGAAGTTAAGATGGAATTCTCTCTGTAATTTCTTAGCTATTGGATTGTGCTGGATAATCCTGGGATTTGTTTGGTAGTTTTTAGTGGCCATCTATGTGTATTTCAACATACTTGTATTGTTCTCTCCCCCACCCAAAACAGGCAGCCAATTCCAGAGAAGGCAGTGCTGTTATGAAATAATTACAGAGTTATTTTTTTTTATTTGAAACTTCATTAAACAAATGTATTAATGTTTTGGATTTAGGTTGGAATCCAGGTACAGCAGTTAGTTCCCATCAGTAAAACCACTTCAGCACACTCAGCAGTTCAGTCTGGACATTTACCTGGTGGATCACATTCAGTTATTGACCTTTTTCATGTTCAGAAAGCAAAAAAGAACTCAGAAGAGGAGCACAAGGAAGGTCAGTAAGCTTTGTGATCAGTTCTGAAGAGCCCCAACATAGATGACCTTTTGAAATACTTACTCAGTATTATACCAGTGTAAATTATTTAACAGAAACTTTTTGAGAGTTGGTTTTGCTGCTGCAAATGAAAATGCTGCTAATAAAACTCTGTGTAGGATTATTCCAATCCTTGAGTTACCAGTAACAGAGGATACTTTTGAAATAGAAGGTGTTACAATTATGTTATATATTGTGTAAGCTCTTTAGCAAATAATACTGGAAATTAGCTTCACTGGGTCTTGAATCTTCAGAGTGTTTTTAACTATTCAGTGATCATTCTGTATTTTGTGTCCCTGTGTACAGTATTTGTGGCTGCTATGGACCTTGAAATATCTTCTAACTCAAGAACTTGCACTTTCCTTCCACCTCGTGGTACTCACCTCACACCTGGTCTCAGTTCTAATGCCAACACCACCGAGTCTGCTGTCAAATGCAATGGTGTGCATTCTCCTGTCAGTGTCAAATCCAGGCTCAATCTCAGTATTGAGGTTCCCTCTCCTTCCCAGGTAAAACCTGAGAATGTGACACATATGCAGTGCATTATAGTAACTTAGCATTGTCTGTCTTTGATAGAGTGAAAATGAGACTTTTTTTCAATCAAGAGAGTTCTGCTAGAGTACAGTGCACAGTAAGAAAGTGTTAGTGATGTAAAACTGTTTTGCCTTAATAAAAGGATTTTTAATAGTGGTCATTTATAGGCTAACTGAAAAAATACTATATTTATTCGGAGAAAAGATGTTTAACTTTTCAGTATCTTTTTCACTTCTCATCACCTGTCAAAGGATTGCAATGGAACAGGAATGGAAACTTTAACTTTTCAGTATCTTTTTCACTTCCCATCACCTGTCAAAGGATTGCAGTGGAACAGGAATGGAAATGATGCTGAGGATGACATGGTAAAAAACACTATGTTTCACCTTTCACAATGCCCAGAACCTAATGAAGAGATTATTGAGGTTCAGATCAGATGTCAGGAGAAATGTTTTCCCTCGCACTGGGATATTGCCCAGGGAGGTGGTGAAGTCACCATCACTGGAAGAGTTCAAGAGGTGACTGGATCTGGTGCTGGAGGATCTGGTTTAGGTTTTAGGGGTTCCAGCAGTGACAGGTTAAGGGTTAGACTTGATGATCTTAGAGGTCTCCTCCAACCTTGGTGGGTCTGTGATTCTATGAAAAACACACAGTAAATGTTAGGAAAACTTCCATCAGAGAAATTAAACACATTATGTATTTAAAGCCCAATGTTTATATGATTATGATGCAGATTTGTAAATTCCATTTTCTTAGGTCAGCTGTTAATAGTATTTGTGATAAACTTAATCACTGATGAGTGGTTTGGCTGAAGAAGAATTCTGGCAAGTAATTTATGGCATTTTTCATGAAGACAGCACTTTTACATTTTTACCATCCCTCTTTATGGGGACTGGAGCACAAGTGCCATGAGGAGAGGCTGAGGGAGCTGGGGGTGTTCAGCCTGGAGAAGAGGAGGCTCAGGGGAGACCTTCTCCCCCTCTGCAACTCCCTGACAGGAGGTTGGAGTCAGGTGGGGGTTGGTCTCTTCTCCCAGGCAACCAGCAGCAGGACAAGAGGGCACAGACTCAAGCTCTGCCAGGGGAGGGTTAGGTTGGCTATTAGGAAGAGATTTTTTCCAGAGAGAGTGCTCAGGCATTGGAATGTGCTGCCCAGGGAGGTGGTGGATTCCCCATCCCTGGAGGTTTTCAAGCTGAGACTGGATGGGGCACTTAGTGCCATGGGCTAGTAACTGTCTTTACTTCTGCTTTTAACCATACTATGCTATGGAGTACAATACAAAATTCAGTGCAGGGAAGGGGTGATGAGAGTTAATACCACACTGCTGTTTGTGTACTGTGTGCTGGGAAAGCAGCAAGTAAGATATTTTACACCTGGGATTCCCAGAAAATGCTTATAGAGTTATATATGCAGGAAATTTGGGATGAGTGAACACACACAGAATGTGAAAGAGTAACTGTAGTGATTAGCAGTACAGACAGCTTTCATCAAAACCTCCCAGTTACTATAAGTCAAGTAGATTTTCATAGATACCTGTGGTGCTTGTGTTTAAATCCAGGATCTGGTCATAAACTCGAAATTTTCTTCTTAAAGGTAAAAGATAAAGTATTCAGTTTAAATCCAGGATCTGGTCATAAACTTGAAATTTTCTTCCTAAAGGTAAAAGATAAAGTATTCTAACACTGCTGCAGAGTCTTATTTAGCAGAACTTAGAGGCAAACACTGGCATTTATATGTATAGTTCCACTGAAACTTGCCTTGTGAGAAGATGGAACTTAGAGGCAAACACTGGCATTTATCTGTATAGTTCTACTGAAACTTGCCTTGTGAGAAGATGATGTTGTGCATGGCCTGTTGGTTATATCCATTCTGCCACTCATGCAGCTCTCATTGTAGAACAGCAGCTTTGGGCACTGAGGGGTCATAGCAGTTGTTTCAAGTCAATAAGTGATAGTAAGTAAAAGCTTATTTCATTACCAAAATCTATGGCAAGTCTCTGACATTATGTAAACATGCATAATAACATTAAATTAGTAACACATACCTTAGAACTGTATAAAGAAGGAAATTAATTGCTTACAGCTCTCTCGCAGACACTAGTTTAGTATTGGTATCAACATGTGTAACTTGAACTCAGAATTTGGGTTTCCTTATTACTAGGTAGCTGTGGAGGAAAACATTTCTCTGATGTGTGGTGAGAAGACTGAACCTTGAGGAGAGAAAACTGAGCATTCACACTGACTGAACTCAGTCTGAGATGGTGTTTTGCTGATGCAGAGTGTAACTGTCAGGGCCCTAAGTATGTTTGCATACAGATTCAAACCTAGGGTTTTGTAAAATTTAGGAACTGTGCAACTGATTTTTGACTAAAACAACTGTTTCCTCTTGCTCAGAAAAATCTCAAAGCTTTTGTGTATTTGTAGCTAGATAAGTCTGTGCTGGAAGCTTTGCCACCTGATCTCCGAGAGCAAGTGGAGCAAGTGTGCACCATTCAGCAAGGAGAGAGCTGTGGGGAGAGCAAAAAAGAGCCAATAAATGGATGTAACACTGCACTTCTGTCACAGCCAGTGGGAACTGTGCTCTTACAAATACCAGAGCTCCAAGAACCAAACACCAATATGGGAATCAATGTGATAGCCTTGCCAGCTTTCTCACAGGTAGGATGTTTGCACAGTGTCCAGAAGCATCAGCTTTTCACCTCTGAGATAACATTAACTAGAACCTGGGCCTGCCCAGAATTATTTATGGTCCTTTAATAATCTGTCTGCTTTCAAATAAGTGTTACTTTATGTCTCACAAACATAGTATGACATTATTTCTTGGAGATTTCAAGCCATCATGCCTGTGTTTTTTGCTGTTTAATGTAGAGCCTGCTCATTTATGCTTTGCTTTGCAATCCAGTGTGTAAATAGCCTGTTTTCTGCATTGCAGCTGAGTTACACTGCACCAGGAGTCTGAAGCAGTGCTAAAATCTGCTTAGCTACTCACAGGAGGCTCACTCTGTTTAAGTGTATGTTTTGATGGTGTAAAGGCAGCCTCTGCTAGCTCCTGTAGATGTGGTTTGTTTGTATCACATTCCTGGGAGAAAGGCAGGCATGGCTACAGATGGTGCATGTCCCCATAGTTTTTCAGTGGGCTCATAGATAGTGTCCAGGATGAGAAAAGTGCAAAGTTGTTTGTCAAAATAGGGAGCTGAAGGGGGAGCAGGTAACAGTTAGGATGCTTCTGCTGTTATTCCACTCTTCAGTCCAAGGTGGTGCTGAACAAATGGAGTGTAAAAATTTTTTATAATCCTTAAAAAAAAGAAAAAAAGGAAGGTTTGGTTACCCAGAGGTACAATATCTTGTACATGTGTCATTTAAAGAGAGCAGTACTTGTATTTCTGTTCGTTGTGTCATTGCTCCATTGCTGTTCTCAAATGAAGTGATAGCACCTGGTCACATTTAGAGAGATTTATTGCTGTCTCTGAGGCTGCTTAGCTGAGAGAATCCAGAGAAAATCAGGTAGAAATTCCTGCCCTCTTTTCACTCATGCATAAGTGTTACTTAGATGTGTAGTCTCTTCTACTACTAAAATCTCCTCACCTCGATTCAAGTTCATTGTTTCAGAAACAGTTGTGCCAGTTTTCACTCCTGAACTGCAGAGTTGGTTTTCCTGTGTGGATTAGTGAGCTCTCCATCCCCCAGCTGGTTTAACTCATGTGGTTACATCTGTCCATGAGCAGGAGTTTACCTTGGACTTGGGTGTTAAATTATGCTGTGCTATAAAGCACACCCCTCCCTGCTTGTTTGACCAGTAAATTGGAGCTTCATTTGGCTTTCTCTAACAATTCTTTTAGCTTGTGTTTATGCTTTCTCTGTCTGTTGATTAGGTAGTGGAGAATTATTGGGGTTTTTTTATACCAGCATTACTTTTGAAGTTTTCTTAGAAATGCCTAGTTTACACACTCAAATACACTGGTTTTCCTGTCTGTCTCCTAGTGCATTTTGTCACTCTGTTACTTGTTCCAAAATGATGCTTAGCAGAGCAGCCTTTTTGTTTGAAGATGTAGTTCAAGAAGAATTCACTGCATCCTATTTATTTGTCAGGGATATCCCTACTGTCTAGTTTAGAATGTCTCAGTCTTGTACTCCAGGTTTTTTCCTGAAAGCCATTCAGCTCTTTATTGGCAAAAAGAGCTGAGATTTACAATTTTTCTTTTCTGAGCTAGGTTTCATACCTGGAGTCATGTGGTTGAAGAGCTTCCCTTTAGGCTTGGGGGAAAAAATATGCAAACCCCAGTTCATTAATACAGGAGAACTTTTCTGTGTTAAAATCAAACATGAACTTCAGCATCTTTGTCTAAATACAGTTTGACACTTCTTTGTTTTGTTAAGGTCTGTTCTATGGTTGCACACAAAATTTAGAATTACTTTCTTGCAGATGATGCAGTGAACTAAGTAGTAATAGGTTGCAGGTATAGAAATATTGCCAAGCACCCCAAATTGAGTACTTTAGCTACATCAGCTCAGCAGATGGAAATGATGCTCTGCCATCTTTTTATAGCTTAATTAGGTTTGTTTTTCAGCCCTTCATTCCTTTTGTCTGAGCTGTGTTGTGTTTTTATGACCAGGTGCCAAGTTAATTGGCTGATAGTGATTTATTCATTAGTAAGCATATGGAAAATGTGCTTTTCTGGGTAGGGTTCTCCTGTTACAAGAATCCAGATAGGTAGCTTTTGTTTCCATCAGCTGCTGAAGTGATCTTAAAATTTGGAATAGCAGCTGAATCCTGTGGAAGCACAGGCTGCAGAGAGTAAAGATCTCAGATGCTTATACAGCACATCACAAGTGCTGATGGCTCTGTGTGCTAAGGTGATACCTGGATTTCTAAAGCAGAGCTCTCCTGGATATATGTGGATGTGGTACAGGTGTGTGGAAGTTAGGTTAGGACATAACTGAGACAGAGCTGAGACTGGATGTGGCACTTAGTGCCATGGGCTCATGACCACAGTAGGGTTGGACTCGATCTTGGAGGTCTTTTCCAGCCTCATTCTGTGACATTCTGTCTGTAAGTTACCCCAAGCTCCAATTAATTAGTGTAGAATTGATATGAACTTGATTGATGGCTCTTCTGACTGAAGTTTTGCATGTTGCAATCTGAGAGGGCAATGATAGGGGAACAGCAGACTCACATCCAGTTCCCTGTCCTGGAATATTTCTCCATGGATTAATGATGTGCACAAACCCAGTGTTAATTCAGAGTTTTCCAAACTCTTGACTCTCATGGCTTCACCAGAGCACACTAACCTTTTAAAACCAGTTTTAGTCAATAAAATTTACATCTAAAAAATAACTTATACCTCTGGACTTAATTGGCTGCATCCCACTGTGGTGCTTTGTTCTGCACAGTGTATGTGGTAATTGGGGTCAGAGTTGTTCCCATTTCCTCCTTTAATTAGTGCATGTTCGTGTGGAAAAAAATAAAATGGTGTTGGCAGTTCTAAAAATGGAAACAAATGTTGTGCAAAGTTGGTGAGTTTTAACCTGTGGGAGCACATTGGTGTTTGTGATCTGTGTGATTCAGACATCACATGTGAGTGGCACAGTCAGAGCATCCTTTGGGTTAAAACAGCACAGAGCTGTGGAAAAGGAGGTGAATTTTAGGACAATGCAAACTGACCTATAACAAGTAGAGTATCTCAGATAATTACAGAAATTGTATTGTGCCTTTAGAATAGTAATTGTACTTTTGAGTAATTTGGGGGGGGTTTGTGCCCATCTCTGAATTTTGCCAGTGCAGTGAAGGGCACTCACTCTGCCACTGGCAGATTTCATCATCTAAATGATAGGTTTGGGTTTTTCTGAACTAGATTTTGAGGATTGCGAGCTGAAAACACTGTCCAATAATAATGGGAAATTCCAACTACAAGACTAGTCTGTCACTGATTTTTCTACTTCAGACACAGTGAGGAGAGAGAACTGACACAAGAAATTTTATTTTGTCCATATGAGTGTGTCTGGTAATTGGCAACAAATGATTTCCTGTCTAGAATTCAAGTCCCTGGGATGGTTGCAAGGGACTGACTGTGTTTTTATCAGTCAGACAAGGGGGGACAACTGTGGGAAGAAGAAATTAAACCCTGGGGTTAGTTGAAAGTACAACATCACTGGACTTGGCTTTTCCTGTGCTTAAAGAAGTGATGCTGTTTCCAAGAGTGTTTTGTGTGAGTTGTGTAGCAGCTTCCAGGAAATAGAAATATCCAAGGAAAAGGAGGAACACAAGTCTGACTGTCAGAGTGTCTGAGTTTTGGAGCTGGAAGGGAGTTCCTGAGTCAGGCCTGACTGTGCTGTTAATAGAGCTGTGTATCAGTAGGAGAGTAAAGATGGTTTTTGTGGTAGGCCCCTAAGAGTCAGTTTATTAAATAATTAATGTAGAGCAATATTCAGTGGAAAATTTGGTTGTTTTTACAAGCTGAAATATGCGAAGAGAATATACCAAGTGTTTTACAGTGTTTCAGTTATATCTCGTTTATTTTTGCTTGGCACTAAATGTAAATAGCTCTCTGGGATGAGTGAGCTGGGGGAAGCAAACAGTGCTGCTCTCTGCTGAAATCACTAACTGCTCTTTTGTTGCTGTTAGGTGGACCCTGAGGTTTTTGCTGCACTACCTGCTGAGCTGCAAGCAGAGCTGAGAGATGCCTATGATCAACGGCAGAAGCAGTCAGAGCAACAACCTGCAAACACTTTGGGTGAGAGTGTAACTGTGCAGTAGTTTGGTGGGGGAGTTGTTCAGTATCCAAACAGTTACACAGCCCTAAATAAGACTGGGAAGTCTGGCTAAAGCTGCCGTGAAGATGTTGTGTTCAGTTGAGTTTCTGTATTTATTTTTGACAGTCAGTTAGAACCAGCTGTGGCCTCAGCTTGCAAGCAGATGCTTAGCTTTACTCAGATGGGTAATTAACTCAGCTCATGGGGACTGTGGCACTAAACTTACCCATGTCCATATGTTTGTGGAGTGGAATCTGAACTTGACATGTCTTGTGATTTCAAGTATTGCATCTTCAGTACCTGACTTAGCTACTGTGTTCTCTTGGTACCTGTAGCACTGGTGTTGGGTTTGGCCAACTAGAGAGAGGCTACACCTCACTATATGTCTGATGGTCAGATGAGATTACTCTGAGCTTATTATCCAGGTCTCCTTTTGATGATCAGTAAGGTGTAAGATTTATTCCCTGTGTGAATGTGTTTTCTTGTAGAACAGGTTGGCAGTGTCATTGGGCTCATTGCCAGTTAAATACTGTGTTACTGTAATCACACCTTGATGTCACAGATAGTGGACAAAGGCAGATGTGTTAGCATGATGAAGTGAGGGCAATTCCCTTCCTAAACTCTGATAAAAGCATTGCAGGAGACTCCCCAGTGCTGGTTTTGCTGCTAAGCACTGCTGGGATGCCTTAGTGGGGATCTGGGTGGGACTGAGGCATTTTTTCCAGTAGGCCTCAGGTTTCACCAGCTGCTCATATTCATGTATTGAAATGCTCAGTTAAGACACTCAACTGTTAAAATAGCTGAGTTAAAACACTCAACTGTTCATAAGCCTTAATTAAAAGGCTTATGAATAGCTGAGTATCCTCTGAGGACACTACTGGCTAGCAGTACTTCCCAAATACTTACAGCATTACCCATATCTGGAATGGCATGTGAGTGTTCAGGATGTTCTCCCAGTGGTCCAGCATTACCCATATCTGGAATGGCATGTCAGTGTTCAAGATGTTCTCCCAGTGATCATCAGGTTTTTGTGGAAGGTAGAGAGTCCCCCTTTCAGTGGAGAAGTATTACATTTTGAAATGTATCAACTACTGACTATTCCTGTGCTTTTCAGTGTCAAAAAACCCTTTCCTACACCTGAAGCCTACAACCATGAAAAATAAGAAAAAGATACGGAAAAAAAATCCAGTCAGTCCTGCAAAAAAGATTCAGAGTCCTTTGAAAAACAAACTGATTGGCAGCCCTGCAAAAATCCTGCCAGCTGCATCTGGAAGCCCACAGAAGCTGATAGATGGCTTTTTGAAACAAGAAGGGACAGCTGCTCAGGTACTTTGAACAGTAACAGCTCTCAGTAAAGCTCTGTCTGTTTCTTTAGACTCAGTTCATGCTCACAAGTGCAGCTGCTTTCCTTTGCTAAACACTTCTCTCTGTTTGTATATATATGGTGTTGCCATATTTGTCAGACTGAGCATTATCAACTTTTATGTCTGGAGCAGCCAGAAGCAGTTCCATCCACTTCGGACTCCTCAGGCCCCTCAGCCCTGCAGACTGAGCAGCAGACAGGTTTGTTCAGGCCCCAGGCACCCAACCTGGCTGGAGCTGTCGAGTTCAACGACGTCAAGACGTTGCTGAAGGAATGGATCACCACCATTTCAGGTACAGGGTGACATGCTGCTGCTGATCTTGCCTGCCTCACAAAGAAACTGCTTTTAGTAGGCTTTTTGTACCTTCTTCCTTCACTTTTCCTTTCACTGCTGATTTTTCACAGTTATCTTGAAGTCTTACTGCTTTGGCAGTTGTGGGGGAACTTGGTTCTTTCTGTCAGTTGTTGTTCTGTGGTTTTGCCAGCTCCTGTGTCTTGCTTAACATCATGAAACTCTACGTGCTCTCTCTCTTCAACCCTTGCCTTGAGCCATGACATTATTTGTGTGGGAGGTTTTTCTTGTTTTCCCAACCAGTTACAACCACTAGGACGAAAGGGAATTCCTCTTTTAGGAAGGTATAATTTTAGAGGCTAAAGAGTGCAGGTTTTTGGGGTTTTATTTCAACATAACTGCTGGAAAGAATGCTAGGAAAAAAATAGTGCAGAAGTGTAACACTAATTGTGATTTGAATTTAATATTATGCCAAACCAACATCAATGCCTTAATATCTTGGGAAATCTGACCTTTGTACCCTGGACATTGCTGTTCTCCTAGGGGTTTCGAAACAGCCATTCCATTCTAAATTCCAGTCTCTTCTCCCTTTGGTTGATGCCATCTTGGCTGTCAGTTGTTCATACTGAAGAAAAAGAGGTCTACAGTATTTAATATTTAATATAGAATCAGCCTGGTTGGAAGAGAC